GCAATGGTCTCTAACAGAAACATCGAGAGCTGTACATGTAATGTCACCTGGTGAACACTAGAGGCCGCCAGAACAGATGCCAGGCCCAAGGACTCCAGCTGCGACCTCCGCACCTTGCTCTTAATTGCACGCCAAGAATCCATTTAATGTGCACTTAAGGCCCCCAGTTAGGAACACCAGGGCATTTTCTGTAAAGCAGTATCAACCACACCTCAAAATAAATTCCTAGTGGATAACATCATTAAGTGTTAAAATGCAACTATAAAAACGGAAAGTTAGTAATTGTCTCGTTTGGTGATGGTGAAGAAGTTTCAAAGCATAAAAGCAGCAGAAAAAAAATTGTAGAAAGATTTTCCTACATGAAAAAAAATTGTACACATAAAAACACCACAGACACAATGAAAAAGAAATGACACTTCGGGACAAATTTCGCAACACGTGTGAGTGACAGAAAGGAAAGTTACTATGCATAGCATAAAATAAGCTCTTATCAATAAATTAGAAAAGATGAATAATAGCTTAACAGAAAAATTGGCGTGAGCAGATAATTCCCAAAAATAGAAATAACAGTGGCCTATGAAATACACTACTAGTTATGAAATAAGTACAAATAAATAGTATAATGAAATTTCATGATTAGACTATGAATCACAACAAATCTCTTGAAAAAGAAATAAGTGAGAAAAAGTCAAGCACCACACGATTTCATGGCTATGGGGCATATAAAACAAAAACTCATAGACACAAACAGTATGGCGGTCACCAGGGGGAGGGGGGCCGAACATGCAGTGATGGAAGGAGATTTGACTCTGGGCAGTGGGCACACAATGCAATAGACAGATCATGTATCACAGGAATGTACACCTAGGACCTATGTAATTTTATTAATGAATGTCACTCCAATAAATTCAATTAAAAAAACTGGTATTGGGACAGCACCATGAAATGGGTGCAAATGGGGACCATTTTTCTGGAGGATAATTTTAAAACATTTATTCACAGCCTTAAAATTATTAACATGCTGAAGATTCAGTAATTACGTTTCTGGGGAGGTTGCATAATTACGTATTTTAGGGAGGTAAGAAAGATGCACAAAGGTTCACATGTACGGAAGTTCATCTCGGCATTTTGCTTTCAATATTGGAAAACTGGGAACAACTTAGATATCCAACAACAGGGAAGGTTTACATCCACATGAAAATATAAATGCTCACATGTTTATAATATTTAATAATCAACATATTTATGAGCATTTTTGCAGGTTAAGTACAACACTGTGCATAAATCAGTTTACACAGTATGATTTGATTTTGTAAAACTGCGTCAGGAGGAAGCCTTATAATAGCGCAGGTCTCACCTTTCTCCTGAGGTCTCCTTCACTACTGCTTGTGGCGCAGGCATTAGTGGGGTCTTTCAACACCCACTGCCCACCGTACAGGGTTATTACTGTAGAAACACAGAGGGGGTGACTCGAGTCAATGCTTAGCTTATGCAAATTGAAATAGACTTTTGTGGTGGGGGGAGTGACAGAGAACACCTTGGGCCTCCCAGGTGGGTGATGGAAGGATGCAGAATTTGTGGAGAGTGGGGAAGAACTCAGGTATCTCAGCTGGTGCCATCAGAGGGAGGATGTGGTCGGGAGTAAGAGAGGACCATGCAGCTCCATGAACTGGTGGCCAGTCTCTTTTATGCTATGGGACTGTCCAAGGCCCCCAGACTCAGATTCTGCCTCCACTTGAAGGATGATGGGGAGAAATCCTGAATGATTTCTGACCTTACACAGAAGCGACTTTTCCTGCTCCATAAGCTGGAATGAAGATTTGAAATAGGTTTAAGTAGACTGAGAGAAAAACATTTACATATTTTTAACGTACTTTGGAACATGGATTTAGAAATTTGTATCTTATATGTGGACTTGTATCTATATACATTTATATTGATATCAACCCCAATGTAAATATTTAGAAAAAACAAAGGAATATAAGATAATTAAGAGTAAAATATTGTTGTGGGCTTACTGATTTTTCTTATCTTTAATTTTTTTGTATTTTTCAATAATTCCACAGTAAGTAGGTGTCAAATTTATAATGTAAACATTATTAGCATTATTAAAATACAGCATTAAAGGCTAATGACAGGCTGGGAAAAACATTGTTAACTCACAGTACAGATGAAGCTTTGATTTTCTATTTCACAAAGGACTCCTATCAATCAAAGAAAAAGACCAACAACCTATCAGAAAAATGGACCATGGAAAAGATGATTGACAGAAAAGGGAGCGTAAATAGCATGTAAGCATGTGAAATATCGCCTAGTTTTATTCACAATAATGGCAATGCAAATTAAAGCTATTTCAAGATCTTATCTTTTTCCTATCGGAGAGTCCAGGCCGCTGACTTCAATCACACGCCGCTGTGTCGGTAAAAGCGTGAAGAGACGCCCACTCCGTCTGCCTCTTTGTGCTTCGTCACACACTGCTGATGGGAGTGGGCACTGGGCCTTTCTGCAGGAGGGCTTGGCCCCGCCCATCAATTAAACACAAAAACCCATGGGCTCAGCAATGCCTCTTCCAAGAGTTTATGGGGGAAGACATATAGAGATATGCTAAGTTATATAATAGCAAATACTAAAAACTAAAGTTCATAATAGCAAAGTATTGGAAACTAGAAACAAATGTCTTTCAATAGAGAATTGGCTCAATAAATGATTGGTACAATTAACCGCGATAAACAGCTTTATGTACTGATATGGAAGGAGCTCTAAGATAGCTTGTTAAGAAGAAAAAAGAAGAACGGTGTGCATATTATGCTACCATTTGTGGAACGAACTGTATAAATGTATCTTTTTGGATAGAAATCATAGCTAATTTTATCAAACAGTATGTGGCCCATCACTGTTCTAAGTGCTGTGTTTCCGTCTGCACTAATCCGTCTCACCTTCATGGCGGCCCTATGAGATTGGGGCCGTTACCACAACCTCTGTCCGTGTTACAGATGAGTAAATTTGGGTACAGGGGGGAGTGATACTGGGGACAGGGGGAGGGTGAGTGAGAGGCAGGCCTGGGGGGACACAGGAAGAGAAGGGAGAATGTTCTCTGCAGCCCTTGTGCACGGCGACCACACAAATGCACTGTCTATCATTTAAAAAGAATGAAAAGAACCTGCCTGCTGTGACTGTTACTGCATTATACTCACCCCGAGGTGTCTGTCCATCTGTAGGTGTGGGGTGGTTGGGGGGACCCTGAGCCAGGGAACAGAGCATCCGTGGCCCAGTGGATCAGGAAACAGAGCAGGGTCAAGTCCGGCCCAGAGGCCATCGTTTGTACACTAATAAAACAAACAAACACCCCTTGCAGACGATGGTCAGGGCAGCACTGAGTTCTGTCCGTGTTTCCAATCCATCTGATGACCCAGTCACCTGGGAAACTTGACAGCGGCTGCTCAGGCTCCGGGGAGCACACGGTCTGACGGGACACAACTGGGTGCAGGTCGGGACCCGCATTTCTCAGAAGCCCCCGCCCCAGGCAATTCTGATGGAAAAATCTGGTTTAGGAACCCAGAACCACATGGGCTTTGGGGGTTCCTCCCAGTCCTAAAATTCCACATCCCATGATGCAGGTACTGGGTCAGGTCAGACCCAAGTCACCTATTCCTTCTCGCTGTCTCCATTCCCCTCGCCTCCTGGTTTTCAGTCCTTCCGGCCCTTTCTAGAGGCTGCCTCATCTCCAGGCTCATGGGAAAAAAGGAAAGGAAACTGAAAAGGAGGGACTGTGTCCCTGGATCTAGATCTCCATGGTGACCGCCACCCTCCACCTCCCACTTCCAGAGGGCGGAGCCCACAGGCTCCGGAGTCACCATTCCAAGGCATGACCAGGCCCTGAAGCCCAGACGGGCACAGGAGATCTGGCCCGTCTCTGAATTCACACATGGACCCGAATCCTCTGTGGATTCATGTCTTCCGATGGCATTTTCTTCACCAGATGATATTCTGGCTATTTTATACGCTTTTCTCTCTTTCTTCCAGGTGGTCTTTAAAAACGTGCACATTTTGACTTCAGTGCAGTTTTGGATGTTCAGTGACCATCCTTCCCCCTCTCCCACCCCTTCCCCCTCCCCCCTCCCTTCCTTCCTCCTCTAAGTCCTCCTGCATCTTCTCCTCTATCTCCTCCATCTCCTCCTCCTGTGGAGGAAAGGCCTGGGGCCAGGGCGTCTCAGGTTCCCACCACTGCTCTTCCAGCCCATTTAGAGAGATGGGTGTGCGTTCAGCGCACTGCACAGCCCAGAGAAACATGTTTCCCCCACCCTCTACAGGTTTATGGTGAGTCTCTGCATTTCACAGGGCAGTTATTACTCATGATTGATGGTTACTGACCAAGCCCAAGCAAATGTGCGGCACCCTCTGCATACCACACACACATATGCACACACATATTTGGCGCCAGAATGAAGATGCCATTCCTAGCTGGGAGGAGCCACATGGCCAGACCTTGTCGGCAGCCTCTGCCTGTGCTAGAAGGTGCAGGGCATCTAGCTGTCCCCAGTCTGGTGTTCCAGGATTAGCATCCATGACAAAAAGAGTTGGCTACCCACTTTCCACCAGAGAAGACGTGGAAGAGGCGCACCCAGGCCAGAGCCAGGGTTTGCCAGGGCCCCCTCCTCCCTCCCTCCTCCCTCCAACCTGGGCTAATGAAGGCCGGCCCATGTTTGAGCACGATGACAGGTCTTCCCAAAGATGTATTTTTACCCTCTGGACAAATAGCAGTTGGGACGAGTGGGGCTTTTTTTATGAGTTGAGGTACTCCGAGCTGGAAAATAAACAGGCAGCTAATGAGACGCTCTCGGGGAAACTGGCATAAATAATAACAACAAAAAAACACATACATCTGTCCCTTGTGCCAACACCCTTGGGGAGGGGATATAAAAGCTGCTGGCCAGCAAGTGCCAGCCAGACTTGGGGAACTCCGGCTGCGCTCCTGACCTGCGCCCTGACCAGCCGGGATCATGGGGTGCTGCCCCGGGGACTGCTTCGGCTGCTGCCCTCAAGAGGAAAACTGCTGTGAGATGTGCTGCTGCGGCCCCTGCTGTGGATCTTGTTGTGGATCTTGCTGTGGCTGCGGAGGTTCAGGCTGCGGAAGCTCAGGCTGCGGAGGCGGCTGTTGCGGGTCTTCCTGCTGTGGATCTGGCTGCGGGGACGGTGGCTGCGGGGGCGGTGGCTGCGGGGGAGGTTGCTGCGGGGGCTGCTGCGGATCCAGTTGCTGCGGCTCCACGGGGTGCTGCGGCCCTGTTTGCTGCCAGCCCACACCTGTCTGCGACACGAAATGAAGACCTCTCCTTCCTGCCTCACGAGGCGGTCTCAGGGAGCGCTGGCATGTGCTCCAAGAGGAGACCCGGTGTCTCCAGGACCTTCCAAGGCAGTGTCCTGCCTCCCGTTTTATTTGTAGAGGAGGCTTGTTCTCCTGTGCCCGCCCTGGTGTTTCAAGGCCCTGAGAACGAAAGCCTTATGCTGGTGAGGAATTAAAGCCAGGTGCCACCCAAAGTGATCCCCGAAGCTGGAAGGGCGAATCCCCCCCCCACCCCCACCCCCACCCCGCTGTGGCTCGATGTTAATGAAGATGAATGTCTTGGCACCATAAGGCACCCTCTTATTCAAGGTGTCCTGGGACTGACCCCTCTCCTTCAGCTTTTGGCTGCTTTTGAGATACAAAAAATCCCTCTTTGTTAACTTCTTAATAAACTCGAGCATGCTGGCATAACCAAATTAGTTCTGCCGCCTCTTCCTTCACCCCCTCTAGGGCCCTGGACCAGGCAGGCTCACTCTGGAGTCCACAATAGGGCTTTTGAAAGCTAGTTTGTGGGTCACCCTGCATCAGAACTGCCTGGGAGTAGTTAAAAGGGAGATTCCGGAATCCTCCCTGGACCAGGCAAAATCAGTGCATGCCTGACTTGGATGGAAATCTGTGTTTCTTGCAAGAACCCCAGATGATTCCAATGCACTGAGGTTGGAGAACCATCCTTGTAGATGGACGCTGCCCTGTGGTATATAAGAGTTGCATGGGGAGCCTTTAAAAATGCAGACCCTTGGGCTTCGCTGCTGGAGATTTTGTCCATCAGCCCCAGGGTGGGGGCCCTGGGCTCTGCATTTTTAAAAGCTCCCAGGTAAGGTCGGATGGCTGGCCAAGTTTAACCTTGAGGGAGGTGCATGGCTTCCTTCTGCGTTGCAGTTCTTCTAGGCTGGCTCCGCCCGAGGCTTCAGGTTGGGTCAGAACTTTCTGGTACAGTCAGAGGAGAAGGCTCGCCGGTAAGACCAGCTTGGTTCTGAGTGGAAGGGTTCCTGTAGCGCAGTTTTGACAACACACGGGGCCTAAGGATGTTCTGGGCAGCCGGCTCCCTCCTCCGGCCTCGTGCTTTGGCAAAAGCTGCCTGCTCTGCGTTAGGGTTTTGTGTCCTGGAACCAGCTGAATTTCTTCTACAGGAGTCCCCCCCGGGTGAGAGGAGCAAGCCTGACCATCTGTGAAGTGGGTTCAGCTGGGAGGTTGAAATTCAAAAGACAGCTCTTTCAAACTCTTGCTGAATATGATCTCGAGCTATATATGGAATAAAACTAATTCCACTTCTGCCCTGGGAGAACAATATTAATTTTTAATCCTACAAAGCAGTGTTTTACTCAACAAACAAAAATAATTTTGTGATTATAAGCACAGCAATGATTCTTAAGAATATGAAAAAATACAGAAAAATATAAAGAAGAAATGATAGCCACCCAAATTCTCGCCTTCAGGGTTTATTACTAACACGTATCTTTCCAGGCTCCTGTGTAAGCGTATTTTCAAACAAAACTCGGGTGATGCTGCTTTCACTTTTTTGCCTTAAAATTATTTTCTGTTTAATTTTTATAAACTAACTTGGAGATATAATTTACATGTAATAAATTACTCCCACTTCAGTGCACTGTTTGATGAGATTTGACAATCGTGTATGTTTAAATAACCATTATGGCCCTCAAAATCTAGAACTTTCTACCGCCTTTCAGATTGCCCGGTGCCTTTGTGCAGGCAATCCTCTCACCCAGCCTCAGTCTCAGACAAACATCGATCTGCTTTATGTCATTATAAACTTTGCCGTTTCTAGAATTTCATATAAAGGAAACCATATGCTGTGAACTTTTTTACTTGGAATAACAACTTTTAATATTCATTCATGTTTTTGTAGCTATCAATAGTTCATTCCTTTTTATTAAGTGAATAAACTACACTGCATGAATAAACTACATTAAGACTATTTATTAACTGATGAACGTTTGGGTTGCATACAGTTATTGGCTATTATGAATAAAGGTGTTATGAATATTCATGTGCAAATGTTTGTGTGGAAATATGTTTCATTTATTTTGGATAAATACTTAGGTGTTGAATTGCTTGGTAGGGAGTATAGTAAGTGAATGGTTCACATTATAAGGAACTACCCAACTGTTTTTGCAAAGTGGGTGTACCATTTTTTATGTCTGGGAGTTCCAGTTGCTCCATGTCCTTGCTAACACTTAATATTGTTATTCTTTGTATTTTTAGACATTCTAGCAAGTGTCTAGTGATAGCTCCTTGTGTTTTCATTTTCTTTGCTGCATTAAAAATTCCAGCAGATTAGCAGTATCTTGCTCCAGGAGAGAATTTGAGATTTGTCTATGCCCTGGTTCAGTTTTAGACTCTATTATTTAGGTCACTTTTGTTCTGCCTGGAACTGGCCTCTTCAGTGCTGACTCTGTAACCCCAAGGACAAAGCCACTGGCAGAGCAGCAGCGTGCCAAGGGGACACCATTGCCAGAGGTCACTTGGTCTACCGGGTGCAGTTGTGATTAAGAGCAGCCAATTGTTTTATTGCTCATGACCATGGTTATTTTTTTAAAATCCTGACAGAGAATTGCCCTTTTTAGCTGTCCACAGAGGTCCTTCTTCACTGATTCAACAAATCTTTGTAGTGAACTGCCTATGTATCAAAACACTGCACCAGGTGCTGGGTATGTATCAGGGAATAAACACAATTCTTACCCATCTGGTGCTTATCACATCAAAGGACACAAGAGAGAGTAAAAAGAATAAAGTAAAAATGGGCCAGACCAGGAATTGTCAACCTTTTTCATCTCCCAGCACACATAAACTACTTACTAAAAATTCTGTGACACACCAGAAAATATTTTTTTTGCTGATCTGACAAAAAAGGTATAATTTTTATTCATTCACATCAGATGGCTATTTTTGTGTTGGCTGTTTTCATTTTTTAAAAATCTGACAGTCTAAGAGAAAACAGGTGTGTGTCCTTGACTGAACGGTCAGGTATTGCGTGTTTTACAAATTCTTGCAGCACACTGTTTGAAAATTGCTGGGCTAGGTAGTTAAAACAGTGGCTTATTCCACTTAGCAGGGAAGGATTCTTTGAGGAATTCAGTCTAATACAATGGGGGATGTCAAGCAAGTTTTTCAGCTGATAGCAACTCTTTTGGGAGCAGGGGCATCTCCATCTGGAAATTCACTGCTGGTTCAGCTGAGGGAGAGAAAGTGGATGGACAGGAGGGGAGCTGCAAAGCCAGAGATTAGGGTCTTGCATTCGTCTCCTTGCCTTGCCTTCTGCACTGCTCTCTAAAAGTTCTCTTCTTTTATAGCCTGAGAGCCACATCTCAAAGGACAACACTCTCTCTTCCCAATCTTTCACTTTCAACGCTAAGTCCTGTAGATTAGATTCTGCCTCTTTTTTAAAAAAAGATTTTATTTATTTATTTTTAGAGGGGAAGGGAAGGAGAGAGGGAGAGAAATATCAAAGTATGGTTGTGTCTTGTGCATCCCCCGCTGGGAACTGGCCTGCAACCCAGGCATGTGCTCTGACTGGGAATCAAACCATGATCCTTTGGTTCGCAGGCCCGCACTCAATCCACTGAGCTATGCCAGCCAGGGCTAGCTTCTGCCTCTTTAAAACATCTTCTATTGCCCCAGCCCCAAGCCACTGCCCAGTTTATGTTGTCACCACGAAGCTTTAGGGTAATTGTCCCAGACCTCTAGTGGTCTGCCCACTTCCAGACTTGCTCTCCTTCTTCAGTTCCATCTCCACAGCCAGGGAGACCTTTCTGAGGGGCAAACCTGATCAAGCTTTGTCCTGCCCAACACTCCCAGGTATCAGTGGAAAGCCCAACAATGGCCGTGGTCCACAGGCTTTTCATGGCTGAGTGCCTAGTAGCCCCTCTGGACCCATCACTGTCCTTTCCCGTCCCCTTGCACTTTTCATCTGGCCGTGGGACCATTTGCTGCTCTCCAATGTTTCATGCTCTGCAGAAGCCTTCCCCACCTTCCCCCAAACCACGCTGGTGTTCCTCCTGGGTGCCACACAGCACCCCGCGCATCCAGGTATCGCAGCACCTTTGTCTGTATACGGTGCCATAACTGCTTATGGAGGTATCTCTTTCCTCTAAACTGGAGCTCCTTATGGCTGGAATTGCAACTCATTTGTTCCGTGTCATCACAGAAGCCATGGTGGCTGGTTGCAATAGATGAATAACATTGAAATTGAGCACATGATTGCACAAATTGATGAATAAGGAGAAGAATGACAAATGAATGGAGAAATGGTTGAGCTTTTCCAGAGCTGCCTTTTTCATTGACGCTGAAAGCACATGGCAAGGCAAGGCAGGGCCTCGGGGGCAAGGGTGTCAGGCCTCGGCTTTCAGAGACCGAGGGTGTGTTTCTCTCCTCATGTCTGTCCCAGCAACGGCACTGACGCAGCCCTTTGAGAAAGCATGTGCGCCCTTTGCTTTTGTTCACAATGTGTTTGTGAAAAGCCTTGCTTTTTATCCTTTGGATCTTTCACGAATCTTTCTTTTAGGAGCTGTTAAAATCACCAAAGGACAATAGAGATGTCATATGAGAAAGTCGTACACCTGAAATGTAGTTATTAGCCAATATTAGTCTAATAAATTTAATTTAAAAAATCACCAAATGCAAGAAGAACTCTGGAGGTCTACTGGATGCTTGAGGTGCAGATGAGAGGGAGAGAGAAAGAGGAGACAGAAGCAGAGTGACCAGGTCAGGTGCCTTCCAGGGACAGGTAGAGCTGGTGGTCTGGGGCAGGGCTGCTCACCGAACAGGACGAAGGATAGCACTGTGGGCTAAGCCTGTGACATGTGGCTGTGACAGAGCCTTCTGAGGAAGGTCTGTCCAGCCAGGATGGTGAAGGGGAAGAAGAGCAGCTCTGATTATGGGGCAAGCCACGTGGGACCTTTATCAAGTGACGAATGTTTTGATTCCAACCCCTCTTCTTTTCCTTTATCTACAGTGGAGGAGGAAGAAGGTTCCTTAGCTTATGGGATTACTGATGGCTTTAAAGAAGATCATTGCTGTAAAGCACAAGCATTTAAAATCCAGCCCAGAGATCCCCTATCCCACGGCTCCCATTGCAGGTCCTCTCCACGGATCTCTGTGTGTCTATTGTTAAGTAAATCATGGCATTGCAATGAGTTTGCCTGCCTGTCTGTCTGTCCACTAGAGAGCGACATCTAGGAGAATGAATGAGTCGGTCTGACACATGGGCATCCCTTGTGTCCTGCCCAGGGCTCGGTACAGAGGTCCAGAAGATGGATAAATTATAAGTTCCTCTCTTCTTCCCCTGTCCATGATGCTCAGAAACACAGATCATTCAGCTTGGAGGCGATGATGCTTCTTCCAAGATGCTCTGTAGCTCCAAGGATTCCAGATTTAGCAAATCAGTAAACAAACAGCTTCTTTATGAGTGGATAAACAACTTCAGGTCAACAAACCTTTGCCATAATAAGATGTTCCTCTGAAAAGTGGCCCAAACAGCAAGGAGGAAAATGATGCTGGAGCTCCAAACAGCACGTGCCAGCAAGGGGGTATAAAAACGAGGGCCCCCGGAGCTGTCTCAGTCAGGTAGCAACCTCACAACACTCTCAAGGGAGCAGAGCCACCTCCATCATGTCGGGAAACTGCTGTTCTAGAAAATGCCCCTCCGTGCCAGCCATCTCTCTCTGTTCCACTGAGGTGAGGTGCAGAGCACCCATCTTCTTGCCCAGTTCCTGCCAGAGCCAAACGTGGCAACTGGCGACTTGTCAAGATGGCTGCGGATTGTCCAGCTGTGGCCCACAATGCTGTCAGCCTTCCTGTCCTGTGAGCAGCTGCATTCAACCCGTGTGCTGTGAAGCCACCATTTGTGAGCCCTCCTGTCCTGTGAGCAGCTGCTGCCAACCTGTGTGCTGTGAGGCCAATACTTGTGAGCCCTCTTGCTCCGTGAGCAGCTGCTGCCAACCCGTGTGCTGTGAGGCCACCACTTGTGAGCCCTCTTGCTCCGTGAGCAGCTGCTGCCAACCCGTGTGCTGTGAGGCCAGCACTTGTGAGCCCTCTTGCTCCGTGAGCAGCTGCTGCCAACCCGTGTGCTGTGAGGCCAGCACTTGTGAGCCCTCCTGTTCTGTGAGCAGCTGCGCCCAACCTGCATGCTGTGGGGCTGCTTCCTGCCAACAGGTCCTCTGTGTGCCCACCCCCTGCCAGCCCATCGTCTGCACGCCCAGCTGCTGCCCAGCTGTCTGCACTGTGCCTAGTTCCTGCCAGCCAGTAGTCTGCGAGCCCGCCTGCTGTCCGCCAGTGTGCCCCACCCCTGGCTGCTATCCATCCATCTGCTCTGTGGGCAACAGCTGCCAGGCTGTTTGCTGTGACCCTAGTCCTTGTGAGCCATCTTGCTCGGGGCCCAGCATCTGCCAGCCAGCTTCCTGTGCAGCTCTTGTCTGCGAGCCTGTCTGCCTTCGCCCTGTCTGCTGTGTTCCAAACCCTTGTGAGCCACCCTGTGTCCCTAGCACTTGCCAGCAGCCCGCTTGTTGTGTCTCCAGCATCTGCCAACCCATCTGCTCAGAGCTTAGCCCCTGCTCACCCGTGGTCTGTGTGCCCCCTCCATGCCAACCTACCTGTTATGTAGTCAAGCGCTGTCAGTCTGTCTGCTGTCCTGCTTCCTGCTCACCTGCCCCCTGCCAGCCTTCCTGCTGCCGCTTGGGGTCTTCTGCTTCTGCCACCTGCCAACCAACTTGCTCTCGGACTTTCTACATACCCAGCTCCTCCTGCAAACAGCCTTGCACGACTTCGGTTTCCTGCCGCCCAATTTGTCGTCCAATTTGCCGCCCAATTTGCCGCCCAATCTGCTCTGGATCCCTCACCTGCAGGCAGCCATATGTGACGTCCATCTCCTATCGCCCTGCCTGCTACCGCCCCTTTTGCTCCATCCTGCGCCGCCCGACCTGTATCACTTCCATCTCCTTCCGTCCGCTGAGCTCCTGTCTGCCTTGTGCCGACCCCTGCAAACAGGATTGCAAAAAGTCCACTTGCAGCCAAGTGGATGGTGCTGACTCCACTCCCTGCAAGGCGGAAGTCTGCAAGGCCGATCCCTGCCAGCCCATTGAGGCCAAATCCACCAGCCCAACCACCTGCGAAGCCGCAGCCAGCCAGCCTGCTGCCACCAAGCCTGCCAATTGCTGAACTGACCTCAGCCCGCCAATTCCTGCAAAGCGAACCTCCGACTAGAGAGAAAACTCGACTGCCCCACCCGAAGCTCATCATGACTTAGCTAGAATCTTTTTCTTCCTGCACCATCACTTCCGTCTGCTGCTGCTTCAGAGAGCTGATCAGGAATGCCAGTGTCTGCGAGGTCCAGATGAAGGCCTCCTGGGCACTGAGAGGGAGACATTCTGGGTTCCTGTTTGCCGCGGCCATCAAGCTTTGCCATCTCATCTCAAGTCTCTTTTCTGTCACACATTTCTTTCACTCCTCACGTGTGCACTCCCTTGCTGGGTGTGCCCATGTTCTTTGGGGACTTCTTCAATGGGATAAAGATGTGTAACTGTCCAATAAAATCAGCTAAGCTGAAGTGACACGCTGTTTTCATTGTGCTCTTGTTAATGCCACAGTCTCATCAGCTGACTTGCTTCGGCTTTGAGAGCAGCTTCTCTCATCCATTTGTCCATCCAACAAACTTTATTGGGTAGCCCTTAGGTGCCAGGGACTATGTGAGGCTCTAGCAGAGAAGACAAAAGTCTTAGTCCCTGCTCTCAGAGGAGTGCACGCCAGTGGGGAGACAGGTAGATAGAGAGACAATGAACTGTACTCCATTGTGCTAGATACTGGGATAGAGGCAAGTGCAGGCACTGAACTCAGCAGGGTGTGAGGGGGAACCAGGGAAGGATTCTTGGGGCCTGAAGCCTTGTCTTTCAGCTCAAGTAGAAATTAACCAGTTAGAACCCAGGAAGGAAATGTTTTCTAGGCAGGAGTCAGATATAAATGAATGGGCTTGTGAGCGCACTGTTCACTAAGCGAGGCCTGGGCAAAGGTGTGCTTGGGGGAGTGGTGAGCTCTGAGGTCAGAGAAGCAGAGGGCAGCAGGGAGCTGCCCTCATCAGGCCTTCTATGCTGGACAGAGGCATTTGGATTTAGTGCAGGGCTGATAGGAAGGCATCAGGGAGCTGTGTACAGGGCAGTGATGTGAGGGCACTGTGTTTTGGAATGTCTCTTGGGCCTTGGTGTTGAGAACTGCATGGAGGAACATGTTCTTGGATGTAGAGAGACTGGGGAGGAAGCCAGCGGCTTTGGGATCCCCAGTGTGGTAAAAACAAGTGTGGAAGGCCATACTTACAATAAGAACGGTAACCTGGATTTCTTGTGCGAGATCTTTGCTTATGTTTTCCTAGTCCCTATGAGATACACTCTTTGTGTAAACTCCATACATAGCCTGTACAATCTCTAAAAACAGTTTCTTCAAAGCAGTCACCCCTTACACTTAGTACACAGAATGAATGAAGGGCTATCCCTTGTCCTCAAGGTACAGCTTGGGCTACCCTAAGCACAGGAGAGGGTAGACCAAGGTTCTCAACTCTGGCACTACTGATATTTTGGTCTGGATCATTCTTTGTTGTGGGGCTGTCCTATGCATTGTATGTGTTAAGCAGCATCCCTGACCTCTATTAACTAGATTCCAGTAGCATCCTTGGATTGTAACGACCAAAAATGTCTCCCTTCAGACATTCCCAAACATCCCCTGGAGGGGAGTGTGTGTGCAAAAATCACCCCATTTGAGAACCACTGGGTTAAACAATGGCAGGGGGAGAGCTCATCCTGTCACTGGTATTGAAGTTGCTGTCTCATTGGGATATTGGGATTTATATCTGTCTCCTTCCAGAGCCAAGAGAGGAGCTGGCCAGATTTTAAATCTCTGTGCCAAGAACAGACTCAGTGTCTCAGGTAAACCACAGTCATTCTGTGAGATTTCTTCTCCCCTATTTTACAGGTGAAGAATATAAAGAATGAACAAAATAGAGATCCATTAACAGAGATAAGAAAATAGTGGTATAGTCACACAATAGAGTATTAGGCTGCAGGGAAAAATGACTGTACAATGGCTGCATGCCACATAAGTGAACCTCACTGGCGTAATGTGGGTTGATACAAGCAAGCCTCAGAGAACACGCACATATCTAAAGTTCAGAAACAACACACACATGCATTTACATGTATGAGTGCACATGTATGTACACACATACACAAATTTGTTATACATACTATATATAACATATACATTATATTATATATGCTACTCTAATATATATTCTGCATCTATATTCTCAAGGGGGTGATAAAGACAAGAATTGGATAGTCAGCAGGTAACTAATGTACAAATGACTAAAACCCATTCTGCCCAAAGCCTGTGTTTTTCTGTATCATCATGTTTCTTGGTGTGATCAGAGCAGCCCTTGGTGATTCACCAGACTTCCTTAGTGCCTTTAACCACAGCAAAATGGAAGTTGTTACTATTGAGAGATCTATGTTTTCAGCTTTATTGAAGTATAATTGACAAATAAAGTTGTCAGATAGTGAACGTGTACAGTATCATGATTTGATATATGTAGTGAAAGGATTCCTCCCATCTCAATAACAAACATATCCACCACTTCATGTATTTGTCATTTCTGATGAGAACATATAAGTTCTCTCAGCAAATTTCAATGACACAATATGGTATTTTGAACTATAGTCACCATGTTATACCCATTAAATCCTCAGAACTTATCACCTTATGGCTGAAAGTTGGTACCTTTTTATTGACCTCTTGAGAAGTTTCTTTAAGAGAAAGGCAAAAAAAAATTAGAGAAAAATAGATGTAAAAATGGATTTCTTTGAAACACTAAGAGTGGTATGTATGGGTCTAGGATATTGGCATCTTTTTCAGATTGAAGTTGATGTCGTTTCTGAAATATACTTAAGTTTCATTTTGATTGACTTACTTGGGTAAGACTAAAAGTATTCTTGGGAGATAAGAGTTTTGGGATGCAGACAATCAGGAGTAGAACACAGCGCAGGGCCCCTCGTAGTTTGTGAGATGTTGAAATGAATAGTGACGAGGGCAAAAGAAGTGAGTGAGGCTGTTACATAAGAAGCAATGGTAGAGGGAGGCATTTTAGCCACAAGAGGACAGTTTTCCAGGCATCACTCAACCCCCAAATTTCTCTTTTTAAAATAAGAGTGAGAGGGGTAGAATGTGGTGGTATTTTGTATCTGGTACTTTGAAAAGTATCTTCCAGGATTTTCAGCATTGTCCATGACTGTGAAGCAGATGGTAAGAACAAAAATAACCTGAACAATGCAGTTGAAGGCCTCTTGGTTCTTTGAACACTAGGTTATGAGCTAAGAGATCCAACAGAGTAAGTTATAGCAAATGCAGAAATCGGGACGAGCCTTGTCTGACTCCCAAAGACCCAATCTTTCCATTCTGTTGTGCATGTCCATTATGAACAAGGCTAGGATGTGGACCAGCGCAGACCGGTGCTGGGGGCTGGAGACAGCTGGTGAGGCAGAGCCAAGACCAGCCCAGAGGAAGAGTGGAAGAATCAAAATGCGCCTTGCAAATCCCCCTTGGAAGAGGTTGATTTAACAGGAAAACAACTCCTCCTTGCAATAATCCTCATGTCACTTTGGGTGATTACGTTTTTATATTTATAGGATTCACATGCTGTTGACTACATAGTATGAGTTGAAACTTTCTTAATGAACCATTTGGTGGTTTTAAATTTCGAAGCCAAAAGATCGTCCTTGGATGTCTGGATAAGCAGAGGTAAGTTCTCAGACCCTTTTGATCTGGCTGATGATGGCAGTTGTTGAGTGGGCACGTGATCCCCAGCAGGGGGCCAGGGCCACCCGCCCGTGAGCAGGTGTGCTGATGCACAAATGTCAGCCTTCAGTCACCACGTTGGCCTCTCCCCCGACCCTCCCAAAGTCAGGAGGTCCTAATAACGGTTAATTTCAGGGGGTTTTGGAGTCAGCCCAACATTAGTTTGAGTCTTATTTCTACCCTTTATTCCTTGCATCATTTTGGGAAAATTACCTAAGTTCTGAGTTAGTTTTGCTACTGCCAACACGGTGTGACAATTACACCTCCTGACGAGGCTCATTGTAAAGATTCCATGAAACGATGCAGCCAAGGACGTGGTATGGAGTAAGTGTGTGATAAATGGAAGCCATTACTATTGTTACTGGTACCAGCAGAGTTGATTTTCAGGAAAGCCGAATGAGAAGGTTCTAGAAAGAATGTCCTTGGGATGCAGGGCCTTTCTGTTCACCATGTCTGACATCGTCCTCCCTTACCTGGGTCATGGCTTCATTATTGGATTGCGTGGAGCAGAGCTGCGTTCCCGGCGGAAGCGTGGGCGGCCCTGGCTAGGCAGTGGCCTCCTGATGAGAGGTTAGTGCCAGGAAAGGCCTGCTTCGGGGAGGCTGCAGGACAACAGCCTGTAAAAGTGACAGCTCATCTCAGGGCAGGGGCAGCATCAAGGAATCCAAACTTAGCTGAGAAAACTCCCCACTCAACAGACACGTTTAAAAAGCAGGACACCATCTCCCAGGCTCCCGAAGCCTGCTAATCAGATGTTTGTGCTCAGACCAGCAGAAACAATAACAAGGAAAGATGCTCCGTGTTGTGGCACACACCCCTGGTGCACAACTATAAAAGCCCCTGTGTGTCAGATGTGTTTCAAACTCAGGTGCCCTGAGTTTGTAATACCATGGCCAGTAGCTGCGGTCCCGGAATCACCACGGCCATTCCGGCTATGCCCACCATCTCCATGTGCCCCAACTTCCAAAACGAAATCTGTTTGCCTAGTTCCTGCCGGACCAGAACATGGCAACTGGTCACATGCCAAGAAGACTGTCAGCCGTCCAGCAGTGCCCCAGGTGGCTGTGAACCTGCTCCTTGCCAGCCGACCTGCCTTCAGGAAACGTCTCGTGTGGGTTTTGTTTGCCAACCCATTTGCTCCTACACAGCCTGCGATGAACCCGGCACTGGTCAGCCTCCTTGCCTGGTGAGCTCGTGCCAGCCCTCCTGCTTGGAACCCACCGGTGGTCAGGAAAAGTGCTGTGAAGTCAGCTGCAGTCAGCCAAGCTCCTGCAGGCAGCCGGTCTTCGTGTCCACATCACATCAGGCAGTTTGCGGCCACTCAGTCTGCTGTGACCCGAGGGCCTGCCAGCCGTCCTCTTCTGAGGGGACTTCCTGTCCTGAAACATCTTGCCCACCAACCGTCTGTGCAGCTAGTCCATGCCAGCCAACTGGCTTCCAAGCAGGTTCATGTCACCCCGTTAGTGGCCAAGATCAGCTCTGCAAATCAATTTATTACCAGCCCATCTGCTACATTTTCAAGACTAGCCACTCAGTTCCCTGCATGCCTGTTCCCTGCCAGCCATCGACTTGTGTGTTCGATTCTTGCCAGCCTTCTTGCTGTGTGACCTCCCCTTGCCGGCCTCTGTGCCGCCCACCGGCTCCTTCCATATCCTTCATCTGCCAGCCAGGGGCTAACTGCCAGGCCCCCTGTTCTGTAAAGAGCTCTTGCAAACCAGCTTCCTGTGGCACCCTGCCTTCTGGCCAACCAACTTGTGGTGGACCTACTTTCTGCAGCCAGATTGGCTACAAATCCCCTTCCGGCCAACCAGCCTGCTGCGTGACAGGTTTAGGCAAATCGTCCAGTCTGGGTTCCGCTTGTTTCCAACCAACTCCTCCACATCTCTGCAAAGCCAGCACCTGCTTGCCCACTTCCTGCCAACGCAGCCATGAGTCCGGCTTCGGTAAGGCAGCCCTGGGCTGACGGAGTGCCCTTCCCACCTCCGCTGTGGCCTGTGGCTGTCTGCAAGCGCACAGCCATCCGTGGGCCCGCCTCTGGCCAAGCACAGTGCTGCCTGCTTGCTGACATTACTCCCAGTCCAGCCCCACGTTCTCTCCAGGTACAGGCGAGGGGACGTGTCCAGCCACGAAGAGATCCTTCTAAACCGGGGAGAGCCTTTCCGCATGCATGGTCCACACTGTAGCTTGCGTTTTCTGATGCAATGCATTTCGCTTACGCAAAACCTTCTTTCCAGTTTTTCTTTCGATGCTGCCCTGTCTTGAAAAAGACTCCTTTGCTGCTAACCGCTAATTAAAATGGGACTGGTTGAACAAAATGAGTAAGACTCAGAGTGCTTTCCTTCCTCTCAATGCTCCCTTCCGTAGATTTCCACAGGTCACGTTCGACAATGATGACCTCGGACCCTCCGACTTGGGTGGGTCTGAGTTTGGTCTGCAAGGGCAGCTGGCGCCTGGAATTGGAGGTGGTCAGACATGAAGCGAGGAAGGGCAACAGTCCCCTGGCCTCCAACCTTTATATCACCAAGAGCTCCTTAGAGCTGAGTGGCCTCAGTTTCCCCACAATGAAGAGGCCTGGGAAGCCAAAGTCAGATGTGGTCCAGGGACACCACAGATTAAAATAAACACACGGTTTCAGCCGCTGAAAACAGATAAGGGTCAATTCACTTAAAACTGGTTTAAATGATCAATTCACCTCATGGCCAATTTAAACAAAATAAAAAACTCTTTAGAAGCTTTTGGCAGTTGTTCGCTACATTTCTGACAGTTTACAAAAGAGTTTTAAAAAGCAACTGGTCTAAGGGAACAGCTGACCAAGTTTTTTATTTCTAACGTGTAACTATCGAATCTAAACCTTTTAAAAATGGTTGGGTTGGTTTTGGGGGTGGGAGAGCTTGGATGAGGATTTGTAGTGGGCACTTGGAGCAACAGTGCAGACAGATCCCTTCCTCAAGGGGCTCTGGCCTCCTGTGAACCAGGGGCCCTGGGTCCACAAAGTGATGCAGGTCCGAAACCCAGAGTTCTCACCCAGGTCCATAGCGGGGTGTGCACTGCCGCATTTCGGCGACAACATAGGTTTTAAAGAAAGTCTGTGGTCTAGCACTGGGAGAGTGGGGAGGCACTGAGGGTTGATTCCTTCCATGGGGTATTGTATTAGCCTGCTTCTCCAGAGGGAACAGAATGTCCGTATTTTAAATATTTCAATATTATTGATTTAAAGGAATGGCTCATGTGATTATGGAGGCTGGCATGTTCAGATCTGGGATCCGTGGTACGGGCCTGCGAGCTGGAGACCCAGGAGAGCTGGCGATGGACATGAAGCCTGACAGCTGTTTGCGGGCGAATGTGCATCAAACAGAACTATGCACCGCTCTCTGCTTCTTGGGAAAGTGTGGTGCACAAGGGAGAACAGAAACTAAGTTAATTAATATATAAGTACATAAAGAAAAAAACGAGAGAGGGACCCTGCAAGGACTAAAAATGATAACGTGCCACCTAAGGAATATAATTGACTCAATTATTTGCAACTGAAGTCTGCAAAGAGAATTCAAACGAGGAAGACAGGGAGAGAGGGACCATGGTATCTCAAAAGGATCACCGTGGATGGGATGTCTTCTGGGAATGACACTCTCATGGGCGCCCTGTTTAAAGTCTTGCTCCCATGTCTTCCGTGGAGATTTCAGAAAAGCTTGAGGGAGGATGAGGCTCTGGGAACCGGGACGCATTTACCTCCGTCCTGCACACACTTTCCAACAACGTTCCTTACGTTACAAGCTGAAGGAGTATTTACTTCTTTATTCTCTAATTCTTCATCTCTAGCATTCTCGAGATACTTTGCGCTAGTTATTTGACCCATCTAAGTCTGTCTTATTCTCTTCATTGTTCCCGTTAGGAATCTCTCTGTTGTACTGGCAAACCTTGTCCACTGGCCACGTGCCATCACACAAGCTACACACTTTAAACATGTCAGGTGTAAGAGGCGTGTTGGGAAGCCTTGTATCTTTCTTATGCTTGGCACCAGTTTAAATAACAGAGCCTTTATGAGCTGCTTTTAGGTTTGCTGGAACTTGCTGATGAAGCATCCGAACCTCCCATTATAAACCCTGTGCTGCCTGAACGTGCTCACAGCCAAATCTTGACTTACACGTCTGTCCTGGGCAGGGAGCGGTTTTGGAAACACAGGGGAGTCTTGAGAAAAATATGACAGACCCCACCACCCCAAATCGACATGTTCTCACACCTGCTTTGGATCTTTAGGAAATGGAACAGAAATACAACGTGACCGATGAAGTGGAGGTCCTCTCTGTACCCTTTCCAGCGCCGTTTATCTTCTTTCCTTCTCAGACACAACCCAGGTTGCTCTTCTACTCACTGTTCGACTGTATGAAAATACGAGCAACACAGGGTGGAGCAAAAATAGGTTTACAGCTGTTTGTATGGAAAATGATACAATAATCAATAAATGATAATCCCAGAATAAACTCTGTGTTTTGTGCACTCACAGCTGTAAACCTACTTTTGCCAAACAACATACATAGTATTAGGGTTTGGAAATTTAAGAATTTATATATGCATATATAATGTAAAATTACGAAATAAACTTTTCCCTTAATTATTGCTTTTAAGAATAAATTTTTCATTAAGAATTAAGATTTGTAGCAACCATCAAGCATTGTAATTCAAATAACAATTTGTTAATTATGAAGAATAGAACTCTAAATTACATTTTGATGCATGGACCCGTTTCATTATGCTAGTTACCTATTCCTGCATAACAAACAACCCCAACACTTACTGGCTAAAACAAGACACATGGTTATCTCACTGTTTCTGTGGGTTGGGAGTCCAGGCGTGGCTCAGCTACGTGCCTCTAGCTCAGGGTCCCTTGTGAGGCAGCTGCTGAGGTGCTGGCTGGAGCTGCAGCCACTTCACGGCTTGGATAGGGGAAGATTCACTTCCAAGCTCTCTCTGTGGCTGTTGGCAGGCCACAGGTTCTTGCCAGTTGTTGGGCAGAGATATCCTTTCCTTGCCATGTGGGCTTCTGCAGACAGTGGCCAACTGCTGTCACAGCAAAGCAGCTGGATCCTCCCAGAGCAGGTGGTCCAGGAGGGAGAGACTGAGTGCATGATATGGAAGTTACAGCCCTTTTACAGCCTAACCTTGGAAGTGGCATCCCACCAAGTTCGCTCTGTTCATTAGAAGGGAGTCAGTAAATCCAGCGCACACTCAAGGGGAAGAGACTCCACAAAGGTATGACAACCAGGGGCTGGGGATAACTGGAAGTCATTCGAGAGGTTGTCTAGCACAGGCTGCTTTTCTGTTCCCCAGTGATTCACATGCTAAATACACTCCCTCCTTCTCATTTGTGTATTTTTAGAGAGAGGAAGAGAGGGAGAGAAATAGCAACATGTGAGGGAAACATTGATCAGTTGCCTCTCGCATACCCCCAACTGGGGACCTGCCTGACTGGGAATCAAACCAGACCTTTCGCCTTGAGGGGTGACACTTAACCAACTGAACCACAATAGTCAGAGCTACCCTCACTCCCTCTTAAAGTCCCCAAATCTCATCTTATTACAGCATAAGCTCAAAGTCCAGAATCCCATCATTGAAATTAGGTCCAAGAGTGGATGAATCTCCTTGGGCGCGTCTCCTTAAGTACAGCTTCAGGGATATAATTCTTCTAGATCTGTAGACTTGTGAAACTAAAGACATCTTTACCTGGCTCTCACGCACTCAACATACAGTAGTAGAACAAGCATAAGATAATTGATACAGACATTTCTTTTCTAAGGGTGGGGAGCATGGGGAATATAAAGCCGTTCCCAGTCTAATTCTGAAATCTAGTTGGACAAGTGTTGGAAGTTCCTTGATTAGGTTTCCATGCCTGGGACTAATTCCCCATGGCTCTTGGCTTTGCCTTTTGGGCTCTTGGTTCTCTGAACCATCTGTCCTTCTTCATGAAAAACAGCACAAATATACCGCTAGCACTAATCTCAGCCTGTTTCCTGCCAGCCGAATGCTGGGGGTCCAAAGACCTCTCATGCTGTATCGTCTCTGCCCTGCTCTGGTCAAGCCCGAATGTTTTTGCATACATAATTCAATGACCTCTGGGACCTCAGTTGGAAATATTCAGATGGCTAGAGGCTAGAGTCACTTAGCTTCTTCAGTCACAGGCGTGACGCCTGGGATGGGCTTAGCGGAGCCTGCCAACCAGAATGCCTAGGTGTGGCCTTTCTATGTGACTTGCACTCCTCTCAGAATGAGGTCAACTTTTGGAGAGGGACCATCCTGAGAGGGAGCACACAAGCTGGGTCTGCAGCAAGTGGACCCAATGCAGGTTTGGTCACAGCAGCTGGGCCCCCATCAGGTAGGCTGACCACAGGCACTTTTCCACTTCCTGGAAAAGTCAGACACCAAATAAGAGTCTTCCTAGCAAAACCTTCACATTCTCGGTGCTCCATCCACACGGAGATCTCAGACCTCCTCTGAGGCCCAGGTCTCAGCAAGAACTAAGAACAGACCCCTCTTACAAACCTGGATTTTCCTCGCCAGATACAGTCCTGTTGACAGTTCATGGAGCGTGAGTTGGGTGAGGGGTGGATGCAAACGCATCACACACACACACACACACACACACACACACACACCCCATATATAAATATATTAGCAGTACACAGTGAGGACTTTACTTCACATTAAAATTCTTAATGCTATTGTGAAATAAGGTGTGATCTCCTTAATCAGATCAAAAGAAATTAAAACCTCCTTTCTCTCTATCTGCCCCCCTGACCCTCACGCTGTTGCAAGTTTTCAGAGGGAAACATCACAATCTTCATTTTTAATAGCTCAGGCTTGAAAGGGAAAAACAATATATGAATAAACAAATGGAAAGCCCTGGTCTCCCAACGACACACCCAAATCTTGGGCAAACTACTGGCTTCTGTTTATTATGCCCTTAATCTT